GGGGATCAGCCCCTGGGAACCCTGCCTGAAAAGGGGGATCACCCCTGGGAACCCTGCCTGAAAAGGGGGGATCACCCCTGGGAATCCTGCCTGAAAAGGGGGGATCACCCCTGGGAACGCTGCTTGAAAAGGGGGGATCACCCCTGGGAACCCTGCCTGAAAAGGGGGGATCACCCCTGGGAGCCCTGCCTGAAAAGGGGGGATCACCCCTGGGAACCCTGCCTGAAAAGGGGGGATCACCCCTGGGAACCCTGCCTGAAAAGGGGGGATCAGCCCTGGGAACCCTGCCTGAAAAGGGGGCTCAGCCCTGGGAACCCTGCCTGAAAAGGGGGGATCACCCCTGGGAATCCTGCCTGAAAAGGGGGCTCAGCCCTGGGAATCCTGCCTGAAAAGGGGGCTCAGCCCTGGGAACCCTGCCTGAAAAGGGGGATCACCCCTTGGAACCCTGCCTGAAAAGGGGGCTCAGCCTCCCGGCTCCTCTCCCTGCTCAGCCTGCACATGAGTTCATATTCCAGCCTTTGCACTTCTTTCCTGCAAGATCAAGTGACCCTCCTGAAGGGTTCAGGTCAGCCTGCTGGGGAGCACCAGGGGTGTAAGGAGTGAAGTGTTGGGGGGTGAAGGAATCTCTGAGCTCGATGCCCTCGGCACAGGGACCCCCAAAAGACCCTGCACAGACCAGTCTGCTGCTTTTGTGTGAACACTCCAAACTCCCCATGAATACAGAGAAAGGGGCTTGCTTCTTAGGTGCAGTTTCATGGTGGCTTTTATTTAATTCTCCATGCCTGTTCCATGATTTTGGCTATTTTCTGAAGCCAGGTGGTGATTCGGGCATCTCAGCTTCCATTTTCTTGTTTTAAATCCCTGTGCTCATTGCTGAAGTCTGAACATGTGACCTCAGGTGCCCAAGTGCTTTGACCATTAAGAGAAAATTCTTTGCATGGTATTTCTTGATGTAAGGACTGATTTTGTTATCTTTGTGCCCTATTTTTGGGTTGATTCCTATTGTCTGACTGGTTGTTGAAGATAGAGTTGTGTGTGCTTTGAGGATGCAAGATATTTGGGGTTTTCAAAGGCTTGTCAGAGCAGGGCTGAAGGAGTCAGTGATTTCTCTTAGAGCCAGAGCTGCAGGAAGATGGTCCTGGCAGCAGGAAGGGGTGCAAATGGTTCTTGGGTTATTTCCTTTAGTTGCTTTGTGGCCAGGCCCAGGCTGCAGGGCAGGAGAACTCTGTGATTCAAGAAGGAATGGTCTCACCAGAGCAGGAGCTGGAGCAGGGCAGAGATCTGGTGAGCCCCTGAAGCCCATGTGAAGACTGACCCTGCAGCATTGTCCTCGCCAGATTTGTTCACAAAGGCTCTGGAAATCTCAATCCTGGGCTCCCACTGCAATGCCCAGAGCAAGGCACTGGGGCTGCGTGCTCCAGCCCAAACTGCTGCTCCAGGGCTGTGCCATCCTGTGATCCCCCTTCTCCCAAACTCACCTGTGCCTTGGAGAGACAACAGCCATGGACTGAATCTGGAACCTCAGGGCAAAGAATTTGACCCAAATCTGTCCATCTCCCCACACTGCTTCACTGTTTAAAGTGAAACTGTTAATGCAGGAAGCAGGAAAATTTATCTGTGAAAAATTGCACTTGGAAGGCTGGTTTTGGCTCATTCTGAGCAATGAGAGAGCATGAAATTGCTGTGAATCCTCAGGGCTTTCCTGGACAGTGTGTGAACCCAGCACAAAACGTTTATTGTAAAATACCTTCTAATTGCAGTGCTTCAAGTGGGCACTGCTGGCCTTTGCAATGGCTCTGGGCTTTGTTTCCTCTGGGCAGCTGGGAGCAGTGGGCACACAAAGCACAGGGCTCATTTGAGCAGGAATCAGCGCTTTAAACAAACGCCAGGAATGAACTGAGCACTCCCTCACTTGTTTTGATTTTCCAGGTGACTTCAGAAGCTCTGAGGGAGTGGGGCTGGTGCTGGCCATGCTCCTGATTGTCCAGGGTGGGATCCAGAGGTGCTGCCATCCGTGCTCCCCTTGGCTGCGAGACACTCTTGTCCAGGCACCCATTCCTGGCACCAGTTACCTCCAGGCTGCTTGCTGAAGTGAGCTGGGAGGCTGGTTGGCAGCTGGCACAGGGAGCCAAGGACCTGCTGACACCCCACAGCCCTCTGTGCTCCTGGGGGTGCCCACAGCAGCAGTCCCCAGTGCCATTGCTGTCTCCTGGAGATGTCTGCACTTGCCAGGCATTGCGGAGGGAAAAGAGTGGCACTGGGCCTGTTCTCACACTCTGCTGGCTACAAGTTCTCTTTGTCCCCTGCTCCAGCTCTGGGAGGTGCTCCCAGTGCCCCGTGCTGGGATCCCTGTCAGGCTGAGCAGGGTGGTGTCAGCTGCCCACCTCTGCAGAGTGGGTCAGGAGCCAGGAGGCACAGAGGTCCCACGGTGAGGTGGCACAGAGTTCCCATGGTGAGGAGGCACAGTGGTGACAGGGGGTCAGGAGGCACAGAGGTCCCACGGTGAGGTGGCACAGAGGTCCCATGGTGAGGTGGCACAGAGGTCCCATGGTGAGGTGGCACAGAGGTGACGGGGCAGGAGGCACAGAGGTCCCACGGTGAGGTGGCACAGAGGTGACAGGGGGTCAGGAGGCACAGAGGTCCCATGGTGAGGTGGCACAGAGTTCCCATGGTGAGTAGGCACAGTGGTGGGAGGTCACACAGGATTAGTGGCACAGCAGCAGTGACAGGGAAGCTGCTCCCAGCTGAGCCAGCCCGTGATGTGGTGCCTGGCAAAGGGCATTTTAGCAGGGATCGATTGCTTTCAGCGGGCTGGATTGATGAGGGGATCCTCCAGTGCTGGAGCCATGCTGTGAGTGCACCAGCGAGGAGGGTTTTGCCGATCTCGATAATCAATGCCAGTTTCCATCTCCCGCCCGCGGGGCCTGCGGCGCTCCCGCACACAGCGCGAGCAGCTCGAGCTGTTTGGAGCGCCACGGCGCAGGGATGCTTTTATCTCAGAACTGGGATAAAAGCTTTCTTCAGGGGCGGAGGGATTAATTTTTCACACATCTGTCCACTGGAATGCAATAAGGGAGCCTTTGTTCGGGCTCTTTCCGTGGAGCGCCTTCTCCACCCTTGTTATTCCACTCTTCTTTTGCATGGCAAAACTTTTTGTCCTGCATTTCAAATAGATCCTGAGTGTCCCTGGCAGCTGAACAAGAGAAACAAACTTTCCAGCCCTGTTTTTTGTGCTGTTCTCAGGGGATGCTTGGTGATTTGAAGGGTATTTGATTGGTTTTGGCAGAGGCATTTTATTCTGTGGAAAATCCACAGCTCCTCCAGTCCCGTACGGATGGTTTAGGGAGCCCCTGGAGCCTCCAGATGAGAGATCTGCGGGTGGCCAGCTGGTCGTGGAGGTGCCATGGGAACGCTGAGGACACGGCTCTTGGTGGGCAGGGAGGGACAGGGGACAGTGCCAGCTCTGCTCCCGCCTGAGCCGCAGTGGGAGGGCCCAGAGCTTGGCCCAGACATGGCTCTGCATGAAAATGAAGCCCCAGGGCCTCAGCCCCTCTCCTGCAGATTATTTCCTCGCTCTTTGGAGGTTGATTTTACTCTTTACACCAAAGTCTTCTCACTCCGGCCTTAATCATGTGTCAGGGGACCCACCCAGGGTTGATGGCTCCATCCCCACTGAGAGGGAATTCAACACTCAGCTTCAACACTGGTTGTAGCATCCCCCAGTCTGGATGTGCTTCCCCCACATCCCACTCCACGGAGGCTGTAGCACTTCCCAGCTGCCAGGCTCACCAGGGGGACCAGGGTTGGCTGTGCAGTGCTGCTCTGTGTGCACAGGGAGCACCACCCTGGGGATCCTCTGCCTACATTTACCTGTGCTGTGTTTTTTTTCCCCCCAACAGCCCTATTACCATATTTAAATGCAAGTATGTCTTTTTTTGATTGATGTTTTAAGTAGCTTCGAGTTATTGTAGCCTAGTTCTCTGCTCTTTGCCCAGTAGCTGAGCCATAGTGCTGAAGGTAGTGGGCTGTAGTGTGCTGGGCTCGCTCTCTCGCTCTCGGGCTCACTCTTCTCTTTCTCAGTGCCTCAGTTGCTCTCCTGTGGTTCCTCAGCCTTGCAAAGCAGCTGTGATCGTGGTCCTGGTGCCCACTCAAGGGCCAGGTTCCATTGTGGTGGCCACCCCGGGCTTGTCCTGTTGGGTAGCCGGAGCAGTTGGAGCTCCCAGGGACCAGGAACCTCCCTGGGGTTATTGACCTTGGGGTTTGTGGTTCTTGCTGATTGCCTGGACTTTGCCATTGCCCTCTTAAAATACATATATGAAAGTCAGAATCTCTGGCAGATCTTTTGAATATTAAATAAATAAGCAATCTTGCTGGCAGCATTCCATTCTTCTGCGAGGGCTCAGTTCCCTGGAGCAGGGGGGATGTCATAGAGCTCTTTGATCTGTGGCTGGTTTGCTTTCAAGAGCTCCCTTTCCCTTTCCCTTTCCCTTTCCCTTTCCCTTTCCCTTTCCCTTTCCCTTTCCCTTTCCCTTTCCCTTTCCCTTTCCCTTTCCTTCTTTCCTCACATCCATTTAAATTTTTTGGCTTGATCCTAGCAAATTTGTGATCCTGACATGAGGAGCTCCTCATATTTTCCATTCCTGCTCTGTCTGTAGGCCAGCAGGTTATTATCACTTGCAGATAAGCCCGGAAGAGAATTCCCTGGCTGTTTGCGGAGCGGGCTGACCCGTTCCTGCGGGAGCGCGGAGACACGAGCCGAGAGCTGCAGGCTCTGCCTCCAGCCTGTCCCCCGTGGCTCCACGGGCCAGGAGCCCCATTCCTCCTGTGCCACGGGGATTTGTGCCAGCTGTGAGCGCTGGCAGCGGCACCTGGCCAGGGCTGGGCTGTTCCTGCCGTGGCACGGAGAGCCGGGCTGGCGAGCTCCGGGTGCCCGTGGCCCGCAGGGACTCGCGGTACCCGCTGGCCTCTGTCTTTACCCTTCTCCTTTTCTCCACGGCCAGGTTTTCCTGCAGCGGCTTATGGACCAGTAGCAGCGGCAGCCGTGGCGGCAGCAAGAGGATCAGGTAGGGGGGCCCGTGGAAGAGCAAACCCTCAGAGTGCAGGGTCAGGTAAAAGCTCTGTCGGTATTCTGTGTGGCTGCAGCTCTCCATCATTTCTCTGATTTTCCTCACACTTATCCTGGGGACCTGAAAAAAACGAATCAAAACAAAAAAAAAATTAGAGGAAAAAATAAGTAATCAATCCCAACCCAAACCCAAACTACAAGCAGAGGCCACGGGGGCTGGAGCACCTGCAGGAGATTGGCATGAGAACTGCCAAAACCAGGGTAGATATTCCAATTTGTTTCTTCCTTTATTCCTTTATTGCGTTGGTTTATTTGTTTGTTTGGTTTAAATTCGAGGCTCTAAAAAACACCCCAAAAAAGATCAATTTGTGTTTTCGGAAAAAAAGTTTTGGTTTCTCACAGGAAGCTGGGGTTGGGTTGAGGTGGTGGCAGCGGCTCTGGGCGCTCCCGCCGTGCCCGGAGCTGCTGTCAGCTCCTGCAGCATGGCCAGCACGGCACCCCCATGGCGAGGGGCCGTGTCCCTCGGGCTGGCATCACCGGTGCCATCGGCACCAGCACACGGCTCACAGTTCGCCATCCCTGCCTGCTCCAACCCCGCTGCTTCCATGAGGAGCCACAAAGCTTTTCTTCTGTCCTCCTGAAAACTTTTTACTTTTTGTTTTCCCCTTAAGGGAAGTAAAGAAATGAATTGTTGCCAATTGCCGTTACTGCCTTAGGTTTAAATTTTGCTAGGGACGCGAATCAGCGCTTTGCTCAGGCGGCAGAGTTCAGAGCAGCCCTGAGCGAGCCGCGGGTCCCACGGCAGGCCCGTGTCCTCTGTCCCAGCGTGTCCCCGGAGGACACGGGGCTGGCAGCACTCCCAGCTCGCTCAGGGCTGAGCTGGGGGCTCTCGGTGGCTTTCCGGGCAGTGCCGGGGGTTTTCGAGGCTCTCCCGAAAAGCCCCGAGTGCGTGAGGGAGAAGGAGGTGGGCGCAGGCCCAGCGAGAGCCTGGGGCCGTGGAGGCCAGAGAAAGACACTAGGAGAACTCCGTTCCATGCAAACTGGCACTGCTTGCAGGCTACAAAGGACTCTCTGTTCCAGTTCCATCCTGTGGCATGTAGAGAGCGCCTAAGGGGTGACTTGCCAGCCTGGTTGTGGGGATCCCCCAACTCCAGCTTCTCCTACTGCCCCGCCACAGAGGGGGAAAAACAAACCCAAAGAGGGGGAAAAAAAAAAATCCCAAACCCAAACAAATCCCAAGATTGCTTTTGCATATGCTTCCAGGAAAACAGACCTCATTGTTTCTGCCTCTTCCTCATGTTTTGCCCTTCAGGTTTTGTTTTACGTGCAAACAGACCTGGTGAGTTGCCCCTTAGCAAGGCACAGAGGGTTTGGCTGGATTAACGTTGCTTCCCTGATTATTATTTTTTTTAATCGGAGTGCTTTTGGTGCCCATTACAACTGAACTGAGCATTGATCAATTCTGTGCCTGAAAATCATTTGTCTTTAATTTGAGTGTTTTTTGGTTTCTCTTTTGTTGGGTTTTCTGATTTGTTTTTTCAGTTTTTTTGTTTTTTGATTTGAACTTGCAATACGAAACTAAATCTAACCCTAAATTAACAGCACCCTTTCTGGCAAGTTTAAAGAGCAGTATGGTGTTTGGAAATGTCTTTTCAAGCCTCAAAATTGCCTGGTGCACAAAACTGGCAAAAACCCCAAAACTGAATCCAAAGAGCCCCCGTCCCGCCCCGGCCCTGAAGTCTCAAGGAGGAAGGTGGGTTTGTCTCCGGCCCTGCTCACATCTGCACCAAGCCGTGGTCTGGGAACGGGGCGTTTCCGTAGAGTCATCTCCATCCAAAGCTGGTTCTGGAAGGGACATCCTGGGTTTGCCACTCCATCAGCAATGGTAGTGAATTGTATCCAGGAGCAGTGGAGTCCGATCGATCTTGCGCTGCAGTGTACGGGCCCGATTCATTACAAGAAAAATGGCTGGGGTTTTTTCCTTCTTTGCTTTTCAGTTGGGTTTTTGTTTTCCCTTCCCAAATTCGCACAGCCCTCCTTCACGCGTGCCTGGTCCAAAGCACAGAGCACAGCACAGCTGGCCCTAACTGGCCCCTTTCTGCCAGGAAATGGGAAAGAGCTGGGAAACACCTGGGCAGGCACGTCCCACCACCCCCAGCTCACTGGGAGAGCTCTGCCCAGGGCTGCTGGAGCAGAGCACAGAGCAAGCATTGTCCAGGAGGTTCCTGGAAAGCATTGGTGCCAATCCATGGCATCAATGTCCCCATCACTGCTGCCTCTTCAGCAGCTCTCCAGCCCCGTCCCGCTGGCTCTTCCCCACCTTCCTGGCATCAGTGCCAGCACGGAGACTGAGCACCCTCATGGAGCATCCACCTTCAGGTGCGTGTCTTGGTCTCCCCAGGAAGCTGCAGCCCTCTCACTCCAAGCCCCTGGGCACTGACCACCTTGGTTTGTCCCTGGGGTGACAGTCCTCCTCTTGGCACACCTGCATGTTTGCTGAGTCGGCAGGGAGCCTGCTGGGTGCAGGTACCTGCTTGGGGCCTCCTCCCTGCCCTCACCCCTTCTTTTTCTATGGCAGCGTGTCACCAGCTGACCTTGCTAGATAAACAGGTTCTTCTGTGTCATAGCAGGTCTGTCCTACAACCAGCAGAAAGGGACATGTCCCTGTCCCCGTGCTCAGTGCCACCATAAATTGACGTCCCGCGTCGCTGCTCGCGTGCCGGCAGGGTGAGCGCGGCCGTGCTGCTCGGCATCAATCACGTCCCCAGTCGACATCCCAGTGATGAGGTGATAGCTGAGGTCCTTCCAGCAGACAGAGGTCTGGCCACATCCCTTCGCTCTGGGTGGGGCTGTGCTGCCGAGTTCCTCCACTGGTTTTGACAACCTCACCCATTCTTGTATTTTTTTAATGAATTGGGACCTGAGCCACGGAAAACGAGCAAAGTTAAAAGTCCGAATGCTGCAAACTCCTCCTAGACAACTTCACTATCAGTGTCACATTTCTTTTGAATCCACCTGACATATTTTACGTGTAAAACATTTTTGTCGTGTAAATGCTTTTTTTAAAATACAGTCATGGGGGGGGCACATTTTTCTCTTGCATTTGACATGGGAGGGGTTCATCTGGCAGGAGAGAGAGACGAGGAAAATTTGGCAGGAGAGGGGTTTCGTTCCTTCCTCTTTGGTTCATTGACAAGCCTTAGATGTTTCCAGTTCCCGACCTGTTGCTACCAACTGTTCCTCCCTGAGGACTGGAGGCAAAACCCCTTAGGCCACCCTAATCCAGCCCTGCCCAGCTCCCTCGGGCAGGCTTTGCCCGCCGAGCCGGCCGGCGGCACTCGGCGCAGTGGGACAGCGCAGTGCCACGGCGCCAGGGGCTGCTCCCACCCCAACCCCTGGCACATCTGCATTTTGGGCCCCAGTCCCGGCTTGCCAGTGCTGCCTTTGAGCCCTGCGCCCCAACAACCCCTTACTGGACTTTATACTTGCCAGCTATAACAAATCTCATAACGTGAGCTACTGACCTTGATGGTGAGTGTGAGCAGTTATGTTTTGTTGTTTTCTCTCTTGCTTGGTTGGGGCTGCTGTGAGAGAGGGTGTCTCTGAGGCAAACTTTCCGGCCTCTCTTACACTCGGACGTGCACACCTCCTCTCAAACACTCTTCTGAGCGCTCTCAGCGGGAAGGTTTGTCCACACCTATTAATCCTCTCTCAGTGTCCAGCTTCTTGTTAGTAGCAGCTGGTTGCATGTTTTTTGCTTGTTCGGACGAAACGGTTCAAGAAACGACTCATACCAACTCTTGAGAAATGTCTCTATTTTTTTGTACACTTTCTTTCTTTTGATGTTTTTTATTAATTTCCCTTACTTAAAAAACAAAACACCTGTCGTCCCGTAAAACATTTCACATCTCCCCTTGCCTGTTCTTAGAGTGTATGTATCTGTGGGACTGAACTAAATGCATGCACTGTAGTAGTCGTACTGGTAGCAGTAGATGTAGTTGTAGAACATGCATTGTCGAGTTGATATTACAGGCACCCTCAACGCGAGCGAGCGTGGCAGATAAAAGCAGAGCCTTGGTCTGATTGAAAGCGTAGGGATAACACAGCAGAGAGCTGCTGATGGCTTGGATCCATAGAGCCCTATTCATTAAATCCCATTATCTGGAAGTTTAAATTGAAGCCGGCTGTAGGCAACCTACACCCTCCGTACAAGAACCCGCACATGCTCTTATGCTGATAGCAAAACTGACTTTTTTTTTAATTCAAATTAACCCCCCTAGGAACCGAAACACTGACTATAACTGTATTCTCTTATTTTTATTTTGTGTCCTAAAGAACCTAAGATATTTTTCAAATCATTTTACAATCATGGTTTCTCCATCAGCCTGTTACTCGTCCATATTAGCCCATAGACTCATTCGTTGGCGGTCGTAGACCAGATGTGCCACACGCAAATCACTCCATTTGGGAATCCAGTAATTCCGTGTGTGTGAGGCGGCTCCCCGCAGCCTGTCCTGAGCCACCGAGCGATTGTTTGTAGGTCATAAACCTTAAATCTTATTATGCAACAGAGACTCCGAGCTAGTGATGGGTCGTACTCATTGCCATGTCACCCAGCTTAAGGGAACATTTCTAAATGAAGATTTAGCATTTCATAAATATCAGCATGAGGAGTTCGAGGCAAGTTCATCCTCTGTGCCACGAGCCAGCAGTGGCTTTGCTTCTCCTGCCTGGGTTTCTGTGCTAAACTTGGAAAATGCAGAGACGGCACTGCAGTCAGTAAATCCAGCAGATGGTAATTGAGATCCCGAATTAGGCTTTGGTTTATTTGTTTAGTTTGCTGCTTGTCAGGAAACATCCTGATGGGAGCAGAAAAGCTCCTCTCTGGTGTAGTCACCCCTCCCCTCCTCCCCATGCCCTGGCCATCCCCAAAGGCAGCTGTGCTGGGTGAGAGCCTCTCCCTGCTCTGCTGGGCAGAGCCACGCACTCATTAATGCACTTCAGGCAGCAAGGGCCTTCAGAGGAAATAAAATATCCAGAATGGGCTTCCCAGTGTAATTAAGGATTTGTATCTGCTCCTTACCTCTAATAGAACATTGAGTAAATCAAGCAAACAAGCACTGGGGCTGGCACGGTGCAAGGTGAGCTGAGCTGCCCCTGGTGCTGCCAGGGAGCTGAACACTGGTGTGCCAAGGCAGGGATGAGGTTCCCTTTGGATATCAGATTTCCAGGGAAAGGGGAGCCCCCATTCAATGCACCCCAGCACATGAGGGAGTGAGGAGTGTGCCTGAAAGTCAGCAGAGCCATAAATTGCACGGGGTCAAGGAAGCCTTGTCTGACACCTAAGGAAGGTGCTCCAAAATCTAATCTACTCATAGTTTAGCAAATGAATGGCCATAAAAAGGGGGGCAGTGGTTAAGGAGAGGAGCTGCCACAAGCTCATGGAGATTTCAGGAGGAGCATTTCAAAGATCCAGCCATGAACCAATCTGGGATTTCTATTTCCCTTGTGGCACGGTGGCTCTGGTGGAATTGCTCTCCCTTTTTTATTTTCCTCTATGAAAGTACATAAAGTTTAATCCAGGCTATGTAATCTCAAAAGCCAGAACCTAACAAGTGGACCACTTGGGAGCAGCGAGGGCTGGCTGGAATTTCTCGCTCGGCTGGAACCGCCAGTAATTACGTGACAGAGCCTGGCGGGTGATGCCTTGGGAAGTTGATGCTGCATCGGATTTTATCCTTTGCTCATCTCCCTGGCAGAGGCAGCGCGTGCTGGGGGGCACGGCGGGTGGCCAGGCAGGGACCCCACACTGCAGGGGCTTCGGGGAGGGGTGGGAGCAAGGGAAATCATCCTGGTTGAAACAGGAATTCCATCAGCCAGGCTCGGCAGGCAGCAGCCCCAGGTGGTGAATGCACTCTGGAGGAGCCACCCCACTTTCCCATGGGTGGTTTTGGCTTTCTTACTGACATACTGGGAGCCCTGCAGTTACTAATACCCCAAATTTAAAAAATATTAATGATGAAAGGGGCATCTTTTCTGTTTGGCTCAGAAGTGCTGTGCTGCTCCAGGATGGGAATCCCACAGGTCCTTTTCAGAGCAGGCTCCAGGCGGAAGAAACCCTGTGTCTTGTTTTACTGTATGATGCCACTTCTGGATCTTTTTTGATCCATGAGGGACTGAATTTCTTCCTGCACTGCCAGGGAGAAAATTCAGTAGATATGAAACAATTTGGTGGTGCCGCTGCTTGACCTTGGCCACTGCGGCCGGTGTTTGACAGGGCACTGGGCTGAAGTCTATTGAGGTTAAAATACATCAGCTTTAATCAATAATTTTGTAATAGAAAATCTTGTGCGCTTGATAAATCATCTCCAGTGTAATTAGTGACCACCTCTGAAGTGCAGTTGAAGTTAATCTGTAGCAAATTTAGCCAGTAACTTTTAATAGTCTTTTCCATCAGGAGAATTATTTTCCATGGGAAAATGCTCCTCAGAATGCTCATCATGCTGTTTTATTTAGGGAGAAATTCTTCTCTGTGAGGGTGGGGAGGCACAGGTTGTCCAGAAAAGCTTTGGCTGCCCCATCCCTGGAAGTGCCCAGGAGCTTGGAGCAGCCTGGGACAGTGGGAGGTGGCATGGGGTTGGAACAACTTTGGTACCTTCCAAAACCCTGCCACAGCCAATTATCCATGTTTTATTGCATTTCTCCCAGCAGAAGCTGGGGGACAGAGCTGTTGGCAGTTGTAATTAGACTTTGCTCCCCATAAGATGCAGACAAGTTGGAGAGCTTGAAGTGGGGTTTCAGCACGTGCTCTCCAGTGCATGAGATCTTCCAGCACAGGATGGTGTCTTCTGCATTTTAATCCCTAAACAGGTAAAGTGCTGCCAGAGCTGAGGGTAACTTGCCTCCCCAGCAGCAGTTTCAGGCTGCTACCCATTAGTGGAACAACTGCTAACTGTGAGGCAGCGCGCATTGGACTGACACACTACGTCAGTATTTTCATGCTGATTCTCTCCCCAAAAGCTTTAAAAGTAAATACATAATTACAGTGATGTTTTTTCTCCCTCTCTTCTCTCTGAAATAGAAGGCTGCCAGAGGAGCAGAGTAGTTTTTCCTTGCAGCAGATGTTGGTGTGCATCTGGCTCCGTGTGAGCTCAAGAAGCACAGTGGGTTAGGAGCTGCCAGAGAATGCAAAACGGATCTGCAGGTATATAAACCTGAGCTGTTTAAAAATAATAGACTCATGGAGCTGGTGCCTTTTTGAACACTTCCTGGTGGTTAAAAGAGCCCAGAACTCCGTGCCCTGACCCTGATTGGGATGTCAGCTGGCAGCAGCGGGGCGGGTGCCACCAGCTCTCCCCCAGGCACCGTGTGCTGGGCAGCAGCTTGCCTGGTGCAGAGCCTCCTGCAGGGGGGATGGCTGCCCAGGACTGGGGGTTTGCAGGCTGAACCCCTCTTCTGCTACCTGGATAACTCCCCTGTGCTTCTGGGCATCCCCCCAGCCCGTGGGATCAGCAGAGGGAAGGTGCCCCCCAGGAAAGGCCCTTCTGCTACTATGACTTGAATTATTCAGCAAAACAAAGACCCGTTTTTAGTTTAATTTTCATCCTGTATTGTCTGTTATTGTACAAAAGGCTTCAATTTCAAATTACAGGAGTGATAGCCAGTTAATGTGGTACAGTGGGAGGCCGGAGTTGCTGTTGCTATGGCAATGGAGTTCGGCTCATTTGTTTTGTAGATGAGTAATTACTACGCAATTAGAGTAGGCTAAAAATAAAGGGGCCTTTTGTTCCCTCTTACTCATTAATATTAATAAAAGACCTGTCCGGGCTGTGGTAAACAATTAATGCAGATGTGGTTGCCCATGGTAAAATTAACAGCAGCTTTCCTGCTCCTCGGTAGGGTGAAGGCGTTGGCAACACCTGGCTCAGCTCTTCCTTCATTTTAAATGGAGAAACGGTTACAGAGGGGTCTGTGATATCCCAGCATCTGAGCTTTAGCTCTTATTTGCCAGTTGGATGGGTGGTAATAAGTGTTAAAGCTTCATGTGCAGGCACAGGCAGCAGGAACAGCACTGGGGTCAGCGCCTGCAACGCAGCGAGCGCCCGCAGGAACGGGAGGAACCCAGCAGCAGTTCCTGGTGCTGACAGGTCCTCATTCATCCCCCTTGGATAAATGCCAGGGCTGGAGCAGGAAACTTGCCCAAGAACCTGAGCACAGACAAGGACAAGCGTGGTGCTGCTGAAATGACTCCAGCACGGCATGTTACAAACACAGATCGACAAAAAGAGTGTAAGGAGCAGTCCCTAGCATTTGATGTGAAGTAAAAAGATGACTGTACCTTTAGCCTGGATATTGGGATGAAATTCTCCCCTAGGAGGGTGGGGAGGCTCTGGCACAGGGTGCCCAGAGAAGCTGTGGCTGCCCCTGGATCCCTGGAAGCATCCAAGGCCAGGTTGGACAGGGCTTGGAGCACCCTGGGATAGTGGGAGGTGTCCCTGCCCATGGCAGGGGTGGCACTGGATGGGCTTTAAGGTCCCATCCAAATCATTCTGTGACTGTGTGAGGTATGTAAACGTTAATCACATCCTAAATTAGCTGTAAAACCAGTAAAATTGGCAGGAACCAATTAGGAAATTGACTTAACAGGACAGCATTTATTTGCCCCTTTGGTTTATTTGTGAGTTC